GAATGCAGTGTCAGTGAAGACCTGTGGGACACTGCCATCCTGTCATTTCCTGCATCCAAATGTATTTATGGTTCCTTGGCAGGCCTTTTCAGTTAGCAGAGCTTCAAGGTCATCTTGTTTTCCAGAGTCTCAATGTCAAACAGCTTGTGCTGCGCATCTGGCAGCGTGTGTGTATGAGAAGGCAGTTGTGTTTGTCTGTGACAGCTTCTAGCAGTTGACAGGAGGTCGTGGGTGTTTTAAGATTTGATTATAGCACTACAAACGCAATCCACTCCAAAACTCTGCCTAACAGCTAATGTCTTTCAATTTAGTGTTGTGGGTGCCTTAATTTTTACGCTGGGTAGAAACTATTGGCTGTAAATAACAAGTTGCCCGATAGAGATCAGTTACAAAGCAGGTTTGAAGCACGTTGAGGATTAGTTTGCACTATTTTTATTAAACTGGAATTTTAAAGAGACTTTAATAACAGCTGAAATAATCTTAAGTACATAAGGGCTAAGTCAACTGATACAGAAAAGCAAACCCTGCGGCCAAGCCCCTCCTGTGTGACTTCCAAAGGTGATGCTATTTTCTTGACTGGAAGGCTTTACTGCCTGCTCTGTCTACAGCCCTCCAACCTGTGCGACACCTTCTGCCGGTCAGAGTCTAGCTCCCCAGCCCCCGCCCGATGATGCTGAGCAGCAGGCAGCTCTACTCCTAGCGTGCTCTGGAGACACCTTACCAGCATCCCTCCCGCCAGTGAACATGTATGACCTTTTTGAGGCATTACAGGTAAGCTGTTCATGTTACACTGTTGCGTCACAGGCAGCGCTGTCCTGAGTGCCAGCTACCAGTCTCGGATTTGGTTTACATGCATGGAGGGGGATTTGATTTCTCCTCCTACAGTCCGTTTCCTTCTTTCCCTCTCAAATTTACAATTCTTTGGCTTTGACTTCTTCCCACTATTAGGTAACAGTTAACGTACAGTCAGCTCATGGTTTAATGCCTGTTCTGCTCCCCTTGTCAGAGAGTCGATGAGGAAATCCCTGTCTCTTCCTATAGCTACGTAAGAAGGGTGAACTCTTTCTCTGTAGTGAGACTTGCAGTGATTATATCAGAACTGAGCTAGACTGAGATTTCGACAGCGATGCAGCAAAATGACTTGCCTGGCATGTCCCTTCTTAATCCTCATGTTCCACCCTGGGTACTTGGGGGAATACTTGGTCCTGGCATGCAGGCTGCTGCAGTGGGTTAGCTATGATCACCCCAACCCTGGGGAGGTGTCTAAGGTAGGCTGGATGAATCTTCCTGTGGAGATGCATGCCTGTGATTCCCTCCCTTTCTGGCAGGTCTGGGGACGTTCAGACTACTTTGGATGCTTGAAGTTAGCTGTGAGAAATTCCCCCTTGTCATGGTTTAACCCCAGCTGGCAACTGAGCACCACGCAGCCGCTCGCTCACTCCCCCCGCAGTGGGATGGGGGAGAGAATGGGAAGGGTAAAAGTGAGAAAACTCGTGGGTTGAGATAAAGACAGTTTAATAGGTAAAGCAAAAGCCGCGCATCCAAGCAAAGCAAAACAAGGAATTCATTCACTCCTTCCCATGGGCAGGCAGGTGTTCAGCCATCTCCAGGAAAGCAGGGCTCCCTCACGCGTAACGGTTACTTGGGAAGACAAACGCCATCACTCCAAACGTCTCCCCCTTCCCTCCTCTTCCCCCAGCCCTATATACTGAGCATGACGTCCCATGGTATGGAATATCCCATTGGCCAGTTTGGGTCAGCTGTCCTGGCTGTGCCCCCTCCCAGCCTCTTGTGCCCCTCCAGCCTTCTCAGTCGGTAGAGCACGAGAAACTGAAAAGTCCTTGACTAGTGTAAGCACTACCTAGCAACAACTAAAACATCGGTGCCTTATCAATTTTGTTCCCATCCTAAATCCAAAACACAGCACTGTACCAGCTACTAGGAAGGAAATTAACTCTATCCCTGCCGAAACCAGGACACCCCTTGATCTCCGCTATTGTGAACAGGCCTTGGGATTTTGTCTCAAGGCTGTGGAGGCAGACCATTCTTTGTAAGAGCTGTAATGAAGCATTCATCTCGTGTTTAGTCAGATAGAATTGTTGTTTGTAAGATTTTGATGACAAATTGTTGTTTGTCATCACAAGAGCAAAATGATTATTTCCTTACCATGCCACTCCCTTACAAAATGGTGTAACAGGCGGCTGTTCTGTGCTGGCTGGTGTGGCAGTGCTGGCAAGCTGCAGCTCTTCTCAGGTGTGACAGCCTGCATTCC